ATCGCCGACTTGGGCGAGATGATCCCTTGGTTCTGCCGCTGGAATTAATCCTGCGGGTGCAGGAGCGTATAAGGGCCAAGTCGACGGGGGTCAAATACGAAGTTGGCGATATAAAAAACACTCGACACTAGGAATGGCATTTTGGGGGTAAAGGCTATGCCTGGTGTAAGGAACTTTTGGGGAAGATTTTCGATTCTCCGGGGTGCTGGATTGTTGTTTTGGGTACTTGTGGTACTTGGCGATTTGTTGGAGTCGGCACGATGTATACAAGCGTGTCTTTTATGCGGAATATCCCTGCGCGGCATCTCCCCATGGAACGGGGAGATTGGATACAGCATCCACAGGTTAAAGATTCGCTGGGTTGTACGATGGAGTGAAAGTCAGATGACGATGAAACTGAAGTTTTTGCGAGTTATAGGAACTCTTGCACGGTGAATCATTTCTTGTTGCGCAGTGATGGAGAGTAAAATCTGGTGCCCTATGGTACGGAGAGTTGGAACCTGGGCGATAAAGGTATGGTAGCATTGCTTCTCGACGGTGAGGGTGCCGTTATTCGCTGTAGATTTGGTATTATTTGACTGTAGGTGCGCGTGTCTCCTTCAAGTTGGGCTGTACCGCCGGCCGCAACTGCGTCAACGTGGGTGCTGGTGCTGCACTCGGGGATGGTCAAGCAGCTTTACCAAGACGCGGGAGTGGTATCACTCTACTTGTCATTATACTCAGTCAGACCTTGACCCCATTAGGGAGTACTTGAAGAAAGCTGTTGGCGTTGTAGGGCGGTTTGTTCTTGTTGTGCCTCGTGCTGCAGGCTCTACGGTCATTTTTTACACTTTCCCAACTACTTCTTTTCGTCCGAGTGTTGCCATGATAACCGACGTCGTGAGAGCCTGAAATCGCGCCAAGTTGGCTGGTTCTATCAACAGAGGCGATTTATCCGAGACAGATTTATCCAACGCAAGTCTTCTTGGGTACTCGACGCATTCATCACTTCCGCCGATATTTCTAGCTGTAAACATCCATTCATAGCAGTTTTATTTTAGATTACTGTAATTATGTGACATTACTCGCCGGTCGAGCTTAGACTACAGCGGAGAACTCCTTGCAACGATGAGAGTCATCATGAGACTGCCCTCCCTTGGAAACTATTACACCGACCGCCGCATATCCAGAGGAAACATAAACCATAAGAGTACGTGTCAGCCAGAGTAGTGGAAGCGGGGTCTCTAGATGATTGCTCCCTGCCAGAGTCACCGTTGAATCGGACCGATTAGTAGTCGCACCTGAAAGAGCTAATCTGGTCGTTGAATCCGGGGACGTCGTAGATCAGATTGCTGTAGCCAGGATACGAGGCATCAAACGAAGGGCCTTGACAGTTGTAATGCCTAACCTCGTTAGTTGCTACCAAGTTGCAACACTGTGCTGCGTCCCGAGTGCCAAAGAGGACAAACTCACTGAAAAAACCGGCATGAATCAACCTGCGGGTCGGGACGAAGCGAAGACACCACGTCATTCCATGCACTCGGCAGATTGACTTTGAGCCAAGTTCGTTGACAGCAGCAAGCGCAGCATAGAGCTCATATAGAGCCAGACGAGCGCAATAGTGTTGCTTCCAGGTGAATGGCTTCAGACATACCGCACCTGCCCGGGGGGCCCGCTATGTAAATACACGGTGGCTCAAAGTCGACGTGCTTGCAGAAGTAAACGCTTGGGTCTCGAAGTGCAACATCTGGCGAGTCTGCCGGGGCAGCCAAGACGGCAGAGAGGCTGGCAACAACGGCAAGTGTAGACAAATGCATATTGGGATAGTGGGAAGAGTGGATTGTGAGAATTCGGCGACGCGATAAAAGGAAGGCTGTCTTTGGAAATTACTGCCCGCTGAACACATGGGGAGAGGAACCATTTTATAGTTGTCGGACGTTGCTCATGTTCCGGCTCGTCTGCTTGAAGCTGAGGAAGAAACGAATTGTCTTTTGCCAGGCTAAAGCAAACAGCGGCATCTCAAGTAGCTACTTGGAATAGGGGTTGCGTGTCTGTTGAGCAGTCGCCTAGACCCTGAATCGAGGTAGCATTTTCAACCCTCCCGCGAGACACATGTCTTGAACAAGCATATTGTAGCTTTTTACGGTCTAATGGTTGCTGCAGTCAAAAAAAAAAAAAAGGAGTCGAAAATCAATAAAACACCATGGAGCTAATCAATAAGAAAGAAGTAGCTCTGTGTCATAGTTTTTTCCCTCATTGCGGAGGGAACAAAAATATTTAGCCATGGCAGGAATCGAACCCGCTACCCTCTGACTACGGGATAAGGATACTTTAAGAATAATGCGCTACGTAGTCAGACGCTCTACCATTGAGCTACACGGCCTTTGTGGGCTTTTGTTAGTGTAAGTTGGTTGAAACTATCTTAAGTACCAACTGGGGGTTGCAAAGCACCTTGTGTTGTTTAAAGTTTGCAAATGCCAATTTTATCAGCGGCTTCATACGAACCATGTTGAACACATTAGTTGTAGTTGCAAAGTGGAATGAAAATACTCCGTAGCCGAGTTCATTTGCAGCGCGGATGTATCTGTCACGTTATGAGACT